TGTCATCCCTTTGTGTTTTACTGTATTTGAGTCTGTGAGTTTTTTTTTTTTAATCTTTCTTGTGAGTTCAAATCCTCAGTGTTTGTCTCCCTCTTTTGCTCTGCTCCTATTCCCCACCCAGCTGGTCCTTGTTTTAGTTTTACTTTTTGAGTTCTTCGGACCAGTCTGCTCCTGGTTCCAAACCTTCAGGAAAACATGACAATGTGATACTTTGACAACGATATGGCAAGCCATTAGTATTTTGTCAGTTTTCCCTGTCTCAAATATTATTTATTTGGTTTCACACTAGGAAACATTTGCAATTTTGTTTTGCTTTTAAATTAAAGCAATTTAAATTGAGCAATTTACATATTTTTCTTTTTAAAGAAAATTAGTAAACTGCTTTAATTTACTCAACTCAGTTWAGTGGAACTAGTTGGCTTAATTTGATGAAGTAAATTCAACACTTCATATTTTAGAGCGCATAAACATCTCCTTTCATGATGAGTTTGGTCATATTTAAACATGTAACTAGTAGGTAAATTTTAAAATAAATAAGTAAAAGTATAATTTTGAGGTTTGAATGAAACTAAATAAAAGTAAAAGTTACGATTTAAAGAAATACTTGGTAAAATTACAAATCCTCAAAAAAACTTACTGTAACAAAGTAAATGTACTTTGTTACCATAAACCTTTGGTTTTCAGTGAAGAACTAGCATATCTGTCACTAAAAGGCCACTTAATTGTATGAAGAATAATCAGGACTTTAGTTTGAAATGCATTTTTTATCCAGACCTCAGTGAATTTGAATTAAAGGCCACTGGTCWACAACATCTGCTTCCATAAGTTTCATCAATGTTTCTGATTAAAGTGTTAATGTTTGAGTCTTTATGTGAGTTTTATTCCCTGAAATATACAGTAGATATCAGGTTTGCATGACTGCTTGTCTGTTGTCTGTCTGCTTCAAGCTGGAGGCCATTGTGGTGGAAATGCATGATCCAAAGAATGGAGTGAAAGGCTCAGTGCAGAAACTCAACGTCACCACCATCCCACATGCTGTCGCTGGTGAGAGTAACACACTAATAAGGCTTAGCAATACATTTACATTTATRCAGTCCAGCATAGTAGTTATTGTTGCTCATCATCAAAGGCAAATGGGTTCTGCCCAGGTCAGTGTTTGTCTGCCTGTTAGCAAAATGTCTCATATTAATGAAACTATCAGAAAAACATCTGTTCAAATTCAGGGTGGCTGTGGAGGAGTGGTTAGGGGAGTCGTCCTGGAATCGGAAGGGCTCTGGTTCAATACCCCGTCCAGCTGTCTCAGTTGTTGTGTTCTTGGGCAAGACACTTCACCCACCTTGCCTACTGATGGTGGTCAGAGGGTCCGGTGGCACCGGTGCATGGCAGCCTCGCCTCTGTCAGTGTGACCCAGGGCAGCTGTGGCTACAGTGTAGTTTGTCATCATCAGTGTGTGAATGTGAGTGTGAATGGGTGAATGTCTGTTAGTGTAAAGTGCTTTGGTGTCCGGAGGCACTTGAAAAGCGCTCTATAAGTTCAGTACCATTTACCATCATCAAAGGCAAATGGATACAATGTTTCTGCCCAGGTCAGCGTTTGTCTGCCTGTCTGTTAGCAAAATRTCTCATATTAATGAAACTATCAGAAAAACATCTGTTCAAATTAGCGTTCTCACTCYCACTTCAGAGCCATTTCTTCTAGTTTTGAATTTCAGTGTTTTTTTGTAATTTTCTATTGCTTTTATTTTTGTGTTTTTAATTTTGTAAAGTGTCCTACGGTGTCTTGCTAACAAATAAAATGTATTATTATTACTAGAAAGTAATTATCAGATGAACATCTACAACTAATAAACAATTAGAGTTGTCTCGATTCAAGATGGCCACCATTACTAAGCAATCTTAACACAAAAATGACCAAATCTTAGTTAGTTTCACAGTTCTTACAAATTATTTTAAGGGTTGCACAATTACAGGATCTATAGATTTGTTATTGTCTAAAAAAATAAAAGGTAAAGAGTCCTGATGCATCTCAGTAATCCAGGTAAAAAATCAAAAAGAAAAAAATTGTGTAGGTCCTCTGGACGGGTTCTTCTCTAATGAAACGTTTCGTCTCTCCTCCAAGAGACTTCTTCAGTCTGAGAGTTTCAGGCAAAATTCAGCTCCGTTTTTCAGACAACTGAAAACGGAGGCCGTTTTCAGTTGTCT